ATGAGTAGGGGGTTTTGTATGCATACTACTTGTCTGTTTTATTTGCTTATTACCTTTCTTCATCTGGTTTGTCTTTCAAGATTGTTTGACTTACTCTTTTACAGGAAAGATGAAAATAAATCTATGTGGTTCACAGATTGAAAGTAAGAATTAAAAACAACATTATGATTTTCATTGTACAGGTTGTCCTGGGTACTCTCTGAGAGATATTTGGTTTAAGTTAGGAGAATAGACCCGTCTTTGAAGAGAAACAGTGAGAAGGGAAGTGTCCTTAACTTAGGAGAAATTTTATTTTAAAAAATAAGGAGAAAATATGAATTCAAAGAAAAACATTAAGCATAAAATCAAGTTGATTTTGATTGATTTTGGTTGACAAGTTGATTTCAACACGTCAAGTGTTGCTGTTCATTTGGGGGAGTCCCTGGGGGCATCCCCTAAGCTGTGTGTTTGCTGGTAGCAGCAGGCAGGCTAGGAGACTCCACATGCCTTCTGAGGTTAGATGGGGCTTTACTGGGGGGTCCCACCCCTGGGAGCAGCATGGTTACTGAGGAAGAAGGGGGAAAGGGGGAGGGAGGGGGAGAGAGGGAGAGCCCAGGGAGAAAAGGGCCAAGAGAGGGTCTCTTCTCCCTCACACAGCTTAACAGGGAGATCCAAGGTGGGAGTGGAATAAGATTCGGGCCAATGGGATTACAGACACATGATACTTCAGGGGAGGATCACAGACTTGGAATAAACCCTACATTTTCAAGGGATCAGACAGAGCATACCATTTAACTAAAATGTAACACTACAATCAAGAAGACATGTTGAAATTAGAAGTTGCCAAGAGCTGAAACACTAATGTCTAGATTTGATAACTATTGAGATATGAGGAAAACCGTTTGTGCTACAGAGCCAGAAAGTAGACTACCTGATTCCTCCTGAAGCTAATATCTAAATATTTAGGAAGATGTATCAAGGGTCTGTGAAAATATAATATATAATATAATAAGATAATGGAATGGATTTGGGTGTTTTTGGCAAAAATGTTGTTTGTTAATTGTATTGATGTATACTGGAAGACATCTGATGTGAGCTTCATAATTGAAATGTTACAAACACTTCAGCATATGGATCCTTCACATTCACTTAATTGCCAGTTTAGTAATAATTTTATGTAATGAGGAATTATTAATAACACGTGAAATACTAAATTGACGTAATCACCAAAAAAGGTAATATGACATCCACTGTGCAAAGGGTGTTATAATTCCAGGTGTATTTGTTATATTTTAAACAAGTAATATAACTGGTTGAATTCATCTTTCAAAACTATTGACTCTATAAAGTAGTACTAATTTTTTTTTATAATTGTCTTTAAAGGTAAGACTATTAATCAGATATTCTTTTTTTCCCTCATCCTTAATATTTACTAAAATCCAGTTATGACAAAAAAAATTGACAAATGATCATTAACAAACTGCCTTACAGTTTTATGGCGCAAGTCCTGCTGTGAAATAAATCTCTGTATGCTGATTTTTGATTATGTAGGCAGATACCAACACCCTGTTCAGACAAGTGAGAAAAGGGGACCAAATTTGTCTCTTTCCCTGTTGTAGTTTAATCATTGTGGAAGACTGTGATAGTGGGACAAGAGATCTTTTATCTCCAGTACACCAATAAAAATCTTCCCTAAGTTTGCAATTACTGAAAGTCAATAGCCTATTGGTATGAGAAATGTACTCTTTGAGGACAAATGTCCACAACACAGTTATCACCTCTATTGCCACACAGAACAGATTGAGCAGGCACGGAGAATGTCAGGCACCTCCCCAGGTAATCCTCGTCACGGCAGGATCGGCGCACACTGATGTGGGGACCAGTGAAGTGTGCAAGGCCGCTCATTCTCTGGGAGCCCTGTCTAGTCTATGACTTCATTTTCCTGAGTCATTATTCTGACACATCTCATGGGCAACATCTTCAGTGAGAGAAAAGAGCCAATATGAGTTTTACTTAAACTGGTATAAATCAAGAGAAACCCTACTGAAGCCAATGACTTTCCACACAAAATCATAAAAGCAAGAGGTAAACTGAAGCTACTAGTGAACAACAAAATAGAAAGCAAAGTCTTCAATTTCAGTTTACTTCACTTCAGTTTTAAGTGGGAGAAAAGGAATTGAAGTTCTCTGGTTCACCTGATGTGGGAGCAGGAATTGGATACTTAAACTTTGATGTATAAAATTCATTGTGTGCACTTATCCAACTAAAATAAATTAGTAAACCAGAATTACTACATGTGCCTTTGGCTTTTCTGCTTCTTTTTCATAAAGCTTGTATCAGTGATAAACTCTGGTTGAAGAAGATTTGTATATTTAATGGAAGAAGGCATTTTACAAATGTCGTTTAAAGAAACTAGATGACAAACATAAATTAAAGGTCAATTCTATTTCAATTTTAGGTAGACACTTTCAAAAGTTAAGAAGCTTTGGATAAAGGAGATCTCACTCTGTTCCTAAGGAATGCTCCATTCCAGATTTTACTCAGACTAATCAGTGAGTCTTCACAGGGCAACAGCTGTATGCAGAAAGATTCAGGACTGGAGTTTATTCATTATTTCATGCTTCCTTGAACAATTTTTAAATAAAATCTTACAATAATATATGAGTTTCAGTACTTCCAATGCCTTGTAAAATACTGAATTATGGGATCTGAGCAGTTTCCTTCTGATTTTCTCCTTGGAAGAATCCATATAGAAATAGTGTAAACTATATTCAACAGCAAATACAACACAGCCCTTAGAGAGATCATGCATATATGTTTCATAAGGCAGATCAAATGAATTATTTGTACATCCATCTATAACAAACCAAGGAATTTTTCAGGCTCTGTAAAAAGTCTGTGCTCTTTGGGTGATATAATTTCAATGCTAGTACATATGCTATGATTTGATGAATTGCAATAATTACTATGTGCATTGTAGTCTTCCCTTCTTGTTTTCACATTTGCAGATTTTTCTCTGTGAGGCTTACTAATGGTTTGTGTTTTAACCAATTTAATACCTCTTTTCTTAAAGCATTTAGAAGCATTTGTTTATATAAAGAAATTGCTGTTGAACAGGCAAAAAGGATCTATTTTAATATTTTAGAAATCAGCAAAATAGTATTGCAGAAAAACAAAGCATTACATATTGTAGGGAATGATACAAGAGAGTATCTTATTTCATATAAAATGTATTAAGCAATGGCAATCATTTTAGGCAAATGTTTATTTTTTATTTGATTGCTAAGCAAGAGAGATTTTCATTCATCTTCATTTTTGCATTTTTAAGTCTATATAATTTAGTTCACTCTCAAGAATGAAGCTGAATGTTAATAATTTTCCTTTGTGCATTGTGAAAGCGAAAGGCAAAATAGTTTGTTTTTTTGTTTTGTTTTGTTTTGTTTTTTGTTTTGCTTCTGCTTCTGGCTTTGTATATAGTAAAGGAAGCATGCTGTCCAAGAAGATTTTTTGTCATCTACAACAAAAGTACCAGTAGGAGATGGTGAAAATGTTCCTCTTCTCCTCATGAAAGAAGAGAGGAAGACTCAGAAAGGGAGTGAAAGTGTAAAAGGAAGCAGTCAAATTGGAAAGGGAGAATTTGGAAAACTTGTTTTCAGATTTGGTTTGATTCCTGGTAGACTAGAATTACAATTAACATTACTTATTTTGTGTCACTCTTTTCCTATCTAAATTCTCTGTCCTTAGCTGTAAGATGTGTATTCTAATTGATATCAGACGAGGATACTCTTGCTTATATTAAATAGTCTCTTGAACTCTTCAGAGTGGCACTGAAATAAAACACCAACCCATACCAATTTATGAAACTGCAATACAGCAAATTTCCTGCCATCTTTTTAAATCTTAAATACAATTCTATAGAATATAGTAAATGGAGTGCACAAGGTAAAAAAATAGGTTGACAAAAATAGTTAATGCTGTACATTTAACCCAGATCATCAAGAAAAAAATTTCTAAGATGGCAAAAGTGGGAGAGTAGGCACAATATTTTAAAAGTGTAACCCATAACTAGTACGATATGTATACAGTAGCAAGAATTAGTGATCCAGTCCTGAGGTTACCAAGCAATCTCAAATATTGTTTAAGTTCGTGGGAACCCTCGGTGCTAGAACCTCTAGGAAGCATGCCCTACACAACAAGCTAAGAATTTACTATCATAAGAAACCAAAACCAATGGATATTGGCCTTACAGAAATGACAATATCACTGTGAGGCTTTTTACATTAGAGCTGGTGAACATTTGCTGAAAATTATCTGCAGATACTACATTTATTTCTCTTTGTAAGCTGTCCACAAAAAGATAGTAACATTGTAAAATTCTCAGCAGTACTTCTTATTCAAAATTAGTTACACACTTCTCCAGTGAATTTTCTTTTCAAAATCTGCTTTTGGTGAATATTTGAGCTAGCATTCACTTTTTCATGAGTTATTCATACTAATAAAGCTTGAGCACTCAAGTGTTCCTGGAAAGCAAACGTGAAAGCATTGCAAACATGGTCTAATTGAAATCCACTTTCCACTTTGAGCAAATATTCGCAGAACATTTTTTCTACTATTTACTTCGCTTTAGTTGACATTATGGGCTAAAATCTCACTGATGTGCACTAAAGAAACACGTCAGAGCAGAACCCTCTTCAATAACGCAGGTGCAATATTCCTGGAAGAGGCAGGTCTCTTGAACAGGCACAGCATGATTTAACCTGCTCTGTATTCTCATTTCGTTCAGTGGACAGCCTTAAAGGAGACTGCTCAAGAGCTAAGCAAACTCTTTTGATGTGTGGTTGTTTCAACCACACATCAAAATATAAGAACCTGTTGTACCTCTCTCTAAGCTCCCCTTCAGTATTAGTCAATAAAGTTATTCATCTAGCTTTTTTAATTATTACCAGTGATCAACTTATTGCTGGTGTTAAGATAAGCTTCTTCAGGACACATTTTTCTTGATGACATGAGAAGACACAAGATACAAGGAACGACCAGTGGTGTAGTTTATTGTACATGATAGATAGAGAGACAGACAGACAGACAGATAGATAGAAAGACAAACAGATAGATGGATGAAGCTGTTCCCCCTGAAATATCTTGCTTTACGGAACTATCCAAAAATCTTCAGTCCAATCCACCAACCTTCTTGTACAGACAGGTTTCAGTGCACTAGGAACCTCATCCTTTCTAGGAACAGGATGATGTCTGTAGAGCAACAGGAGCCTCCGGAGGGCCATTCTGATTTCGGTTGACCAGAACTTTCTGGATGTGCTCCTATATCCCCATTAAAAGAGAAGGAGACCATACAGAGACATAATGCCCAATGAATGTGCCTCAGAAAAGTGTTGGTATTGGGGAGAAAAATTCAGATCCTATTATCTTCAGTGTCAGTATGTAAGAATGTCCACAGTCCTGCCATCAAACTCCCTGTAAAATTATCTTCTTTGTATCCTCCTTGAGATGTACTAGTCTAGTGAGAATCACTCAGTCCTGCTAGCAATTCCCTGCTACTTTGATTGTCTTTTAAGCTCATCTCCTTTTATTTACTCATTCATCACAGACCATTAAGTGAAGCACTGAAAGGGATAGGAGATATCACATCTCGCACAGAACTCTCAGAGGAAGAAAGCTTCAGGAAAGTTTGTTACAAGCTGTGTTTATATTTCTCACTGTGAAGGCTGCATTGCTAATGTCACAAAGCCTACTGACAGTTTTTGGGGGACTTTGTTGTAAACATAGTGAACACCATCTTTCCATAGCTTTGTGCATGGCCACTCTGGGTCACAGCTCAGCCATTTAGATGTCTTATGTCTTCCCAGATTTGTACTACACAAAAGTTGAAGCCACTGGCTGATAGGAAACAAATAAAAACTAATTTCCCCGCAATCCTTTACATAATACACAACCTTTGCAAACAAAACAGATAATTATAATACAGGCAATTCACCCTTATGGTTGTAGCTACCAAAACTTTGTCATTGTTATATATATCCTGTCACTCCAACTATATCCACTGACTACATGCAGATAATAAAAATATCTCTACTTCAATAGTTCTTACAATATGATGTATCTCATTGCAATAAATTTCCTTCAACAAGGTTGCAATATGTGAAGTCCACTCTCTCCCAAGGTGTTTTTTTTCTTTTGGGTTTTATATACTCAGTCATTAAAAAATAGTTTCCTACATACTAAATAGTGTCACGCAGTCATTTTCATATAGTTAAATAAAGCACTTTAGCTTGGATTTTAGGTCCAATGGCCACACCATGAGAATACAATTCATTCACTAATTAAATGCCCACTACCTCCATCACTAGTGCCTGCCAACTCCAAATTTATACTGCAAAGAACTTTCATTTTATATGATGCATAGAAAAGAAGAAAAAGAAAGGGGGAGAAAAGACCAAGACTATTAATATGTAAAAAATTACCTCTTTAAGGTCAGGAGTACCTCAAAAAGAGTCCCTAGAAATGGAAAGGAGACTCTCAGGTTCATAACAATATAGTAATGATATAAATAATATCTTTCTCTATGTATTACAAACAGCTAGTTGACATGCTTTTGTTGCTACTCTCTAACTACTGGTTTATTGCCCTATTGGATGGGGGCAGAAAGGCATGTCAGTTTTACGCGGCTTATTGTCAAAGTTCATAAAGCTAGATTAGGATGAGTTCTTGTTATGCTTGCTCCTCCCTTGCAGCAGAACTACTTACTATTTTTAATGGATGTAAGTGTGAAAATTAGTATGAGTATTTATTTTAAGGCTGGTTCAGTTTCAGCTTCCTCTACTATATCTACACATTCATACACATTACTTAGTTACCTTTTTTTAGAGGTTATTTTTATATTTTTAATTGTTAGGTAGACTTAGGATATGTAACAATGGATAACTGTGCAATACATTAAATACTTATGGGTATATTGTGCCTTCTGTTATAATATAAAATCCATCTATTCTGGTTGATGGGTTTTAACCTCACACAGAATACTTTAAACTCCATTTGGACTTGTGCCTACAATCACCTTAGCAAAGTCTCTTAAGTAACTGCGCACAGCCTAATTAGTATGCATTATCAATTAACAAACTTAATAGCCGGCAGATTGATTAGATCCTCTGTTGCAGGGGCAGAGCTGAAGCGAAACAGAATGAAAAATCATTGCACGCATACACTGCTGCTTTGTTATTTTCTCAGATCCCCTCCTCCTCCTCCACATTCCTTTAATTAATGCATACATATGGTTCTGAATATCTTGTAAACTGGAGCTTGCTCTAACTCTTTAATAAAACTCACTCGTAGATGAGAGAGCCATAGTCCATGCCTTATTTATTTCTGGCTGAAAACATAAACCATTTGTTTTCAACCAGGTCTTTCCTCTCTAAATGGCACAAATTTTAGAGATCTGCTGCTTCTAAGCTGCTTGTTTTCGTAGTGAAAAGGATAGAGAAAAACAGGTAAGTTGGAGCTGCGTACATCACTCCAAATAACCTTTAGCTGAGAAGCTGGCTCAGGCATCATGCTGATGGCACGCTGATGCATACCACAAGGTGGATGCCATAATTACTGTTATAAAATAAAAAAGCATAGCACAGAGCAAGGCATGTAATTTTATAAATTCTGCTATATTGATGAATTGGAAAATAAGAATACAGGAAGAAAAGCCTTTCTATTTTGAAACGAGGAATCATACTAAAAAATTTCACTGTTAATTTTAGATAAAATGCTAGTATTAGACAGCATTTTTTTGCATCAAAGGATGCAAATCCTCAAAGACTACTGAAAACAACACGGAAGACTATCAGTTGGTGCCTTGCAGTAGGGGCAAGCTCTATCCTTGGGCAAATCAGCCTTTGCACACTGAGAAAGAAAGCTGTGCTTACCATGATGGTCTGAGCACTAGCAGCAAGTTTCAGAATTAATATATATTTAGCATTTATATAGCATTTACATATGCAAATCACTGAAGCTAGTGATTTGCATATGTAAATGTTACATAAATGCTAAATATATATTAATTAATTAGCTAATTAATTCACAAAACATAGTGGTTGGGCAGGTCATGTAAAAGTATCCATGATGGCTAATACTGGTAAATCCAGTAAAGGTGCAAGACTAACTTCCCAAAGACATAACACATGCTGTTGTCAAGACCTCCATCAGTGCTCGAGGGTCCCTAATTCCCACATCTGCACCCCTCAGTGAGGTTGTGCTCACAATTGTTACCATTTTCCTAACCACACAGTCACAAACCCAATGGCTGAGGTTGGAAGTGACCTCTGGATCATCTGGCCCAAGCCTCCTACTCAGGTGATAGCTGTGGCCCAAAAGTAAGATTAAGACTCTTAAAGAATGGCTGCTCCTCTGAGTCCTCTAGGAGTCAGATCTGAAGGAGCTGATGGCTATAGCCTCATCTTGATATAAAGGCAGTGACAGACTGAATTCCCTAGTTGAGAAAAGAGCAACAGTTAGGGGTGGTCTGCTGAATTGTGTTTTTCTTTTCCAAGTAAGAAGTTAAGCATGCTGATACAAACTTAGTAAAATACTCTGCAGTACCTTGCAAAAGGAAAGGTGGCACTTATCACTGGATTGGGACATGCTTTGTCAAAAAATCCTGGAAACTTGCAGATCTGGCTGAGTTCAGGACTCTCCAAAACAGGAGATACTTCCTCTGTCTTGCTGGCACTTGAGAGTTCCTATTACTCCACTGTCCCACTGCAAGCCACTCAAAGACTTTCCATGCAAGTTTTTCACTCCAATGTCATTGATTTCTCTAGCCCATCATTTTTTTTCTTTGTAAGCATGTTCTCCTAAACAAAAGAGCATAATGCATTTGGAAGCAGTATGCTCTGTACTGACTTTGTAATCTATTACTATGCCCTAGCATGGCTTTTCCCCCTACATCTTAAAAAGGCAAAGACAAAGAGTTAGGAACTATTTTCACTCTAAAGTGTAAACAAATATGTGTGATTTAAATAAAACCAACTTCAGTGAAGTTGGAGACAGAGTATCCTTCTCTCAGGTTCTGCTGATGTCACTTGGGTTTTACATAAAGCATCACACAGTTTTATCTACTCAAGCACAAGTAATTAAATTTGTCTTCTCAAACACAAAAAATTTAAACTATTTCCACTACAATGCAGATTTTTCCCTTTGTTTTTTTTTTGTTTTTTTTTTTTTTTTTTTTTTTTTTTTTTTTTTTTTTTTTTTCACTTTTTTTTTCTTTTTCCCTTTTTTTTTTTTTTTTTTTTTTTTTTTGTTTTGTTTTGTTTTTTTTTTCATATATCAGCTGATCTGCTACTGGTGATATAAAAGTGATTTTCAAAAGAAAAACCCACACAAAAATATTGCTGTGTGTTTAGATTTAAAGAATTAGACGAGCCATGCAGATTCAGAAGTGTAATTAAAATATTTTACATAAAAATAAATTTCTTTGGATTAAAGAAATCTGAAATATTGTTAGAAGAAACAATAACATCTAAAATATCAAAGACATACCTTCCAGCGGAAAAAGGCTTCCCTTATTAAAAAAAAAAAAAAAAAACCTTAAGAAATAAGAAGACTGGAATTCCTTTGAGTCTAGGTAAGGATGGAGCATTAATTAGCTGCCAGAAAATGGTCTCTTAACACTGCAGTAAGAAATATGCCTCTAATTCTCATTATGTGACCCAAGAGAGGGGCATTAGGTCTGTAACCAGTGAAACTAAAATGTGAAAACTTTTTTTTTAATGATTGGACTACTCAGAGAGCAAGAGGTGAATAATCACCTGCTATCAAAGTATTCACTTCTCTGGATTAGCAGTGGCTCCATACAGGCCTGTCTCCTCACCTAAACCTGAGCATGCTCTGTTTAAGATGGATCACTTTATAGAATATACAATTTCTGAAAAAGTAAAGAGATCGTAAAAAATAAAAGAAAGAAGCTAACATAGAAAAGTCAAAAGTCATGCAGCAACTTTCTATTATCTCTGTGGGTATTATTACAGGTGTTTTACAGTTCTACAGCTGTTCTACAGCACTCTGTAGTTGTTCATGGTATAGGTGTGTTATTTAATGTGTATCCTTTACGCTCCATGTAACAGAGGCCTTCTGTGTCTCTGCACCATGTAAAAGACTCTTATTTTAGGTTAATATTGTTTCTTCTTCAACACAAGCCTAACTAAAACAATTCCAAAATAATTAATGCCCCATGAACTGTATATACTTCAAGGTATTTCCTGTTTCCTTAAATATTTGAAAGATGATTTGAATAATCTTTCAAATATTTAATAAATATGTGTGATTTTTGTAATCCTATGTTGTATGTTACCCTTTACTACATATCATTTTGACAGCTCTCTGAAACAGAGTATAGTATTTCAGTACTCTCTATCCCATGCTGGAGGCATGAACTGGTACCCCCATCAAATTTAGTATCCTGTTCCTTTGATCTGATTGTTCTGCATGCTCCATATCTCCTTCTCCGCGCTACTGTATCTTATTTTCAGCTACTTTTTCCTATGTGATATGATGTTGCTGTTCATATTTCTAAGGAAACATTGCATCAGTTCATATCTTCTTATATTTTTAGGGATTTATAACGCAAAAGAAGCAACAGGACATCCTTTAATATGGACATACTAAACTTGACAGGATAAACAACAACATACCCTTACACATCTGAGAAAAGATACATAGCATATTGCAAAACGATTTATCTACATTTTGAAGACACTTTGCTACATTTGTATTAGTTTATCTCTGATGTTTAAAAAATCGCAGCTGGATTACTCATCTGCCATAGCCCTAATGATATTAGTATTTTAAGTGCAATTTTTCAAAGTGTCTAGTAATTCTGGCTACTTAACATTTGGAAGGAGCCCAAATTTAAAAGAGTAGATGTTCAGCACTTTCTAAAAATTAGTCCATTTTATATGTCAAATGGAATTTTTCCTGGTTTTCTTGTGCAGAATTTTCTCTACCTCTTATACCAGCAAACAGACCTTGAGGGGAAAGTGGGAGAGATGGTGGAACAGAGAAAATCAGCAAAACTCACCAGCAGACAACACTGGACAAATCTCACAGTTGGCTTCTTATTTGTTTCTATTCCAGAAAATTGTAATATGTGTTTCACCTGCTCTGGAAACAACTGGCAACTTCAGACAATCCAGGTAGCCACATGAGAATTTTCTTCTGCTCAAAGGGCTCTATCAGGCAGCTGCAATGACATTCAAGGATTAACCTTCTCTTAGAGAAGTGTCCACCTCCACAACTGAAGAGACACCACAAACTTGTTTTCAATGCTATGCTAAAACAAGACCAATTGAAAGAAACCCTACCGGGTCCTTATAGAAATTGCTGTTTAGAGACATGTTCATATCAACAAGCAGAGGTTTCTGCTGCTCTTTCAACACTCACTACAACAGGAGCACAAGAATTTCAAGTAGTTAACTGAGCAGAGGTAATTCAGAGGATGGTGTGAGAAATACCATTTTCTCATCTCTTTCCCCAAGACCACAAACTGAATCCAACTAGAATGGGGCCCTAACATCTTCCACATGGCTGACTTCTCAGATATTTGAGAAGCACAGACCTCTCCCCTGATTTGGCATTTGACTATGGCTACATCAACAGGAATCTATTTCCAACAGTTGGTCTCAGGTAAATGAGCCTTATGAAGGGTAAATCTTCAGAGGACCCTCAGCCCACAGAAGAGATCTCAGCTGTCTTGCTGTCTTCAAGGAACTCATATATGTGACAGTTGTATTTTTGGACATCTCACACCCACCACAACACCCCATGATGAGGCTTTAGGAAAAAGACACAAAAAGAAACTTAAAGCTGTGGCATGTCTAATTCTAACTGGTCAGGAGACTGTTGGGCACATTTAAGCAGCTGTTCCACATTTTTGCTATTATTGTGGTTTGAAAGAAAAGCATGTTTCAGTACTTCCCTTACATCAAAATCATGTTCAGGCCATATGATCATGACTGAAAAGTCTACAACAAAGGGTTCCTCTGTAATTATGATAGATACTAATTACAAGATTACATACTTATTTCTACAGGAACCAGGTCTCATTCAGTGCTCATTATTTATTTTACTCTCATAATTCAGTCAGTGACTTTATTATTTATTATACACCATTCAAATGCAGCACTGAATACACTATCATTAAATCTCTTCTGAGCTTCTTATACAATCCTCCTTTATTGTTTTCTTTGGGATTTACAAACACAGATTAATTTATCTTCCCAAAATCCCTGTGAGATGAGGAAGGGTTCTGGCTTGCAAGTTATAGACAAGGATTTATGCCACTGAGGTTGAAAGCAAGACATGAGGTAATTTTCAATACCCTATTTTTTAAAACTGGGGACCTAATTCTTCAGAGTAAAAAATATACCAAAAGCACTCTATCTGTTCATAAGAAAGTTCCCACTGAGCTTGGGTTCAATCATCAAAGCTGATTGGTACTTCTAATCAAAGGACTTTTTTTACATACCCAGAAAGTGAGGATCATGCTTATAATGTCCTTGGTCATCTAAGGGGATATATATAATGTCTGTTTCACAGTGTATGACCTAGTACCGTAGATAGAGCTGATACTAGAGTTCTCATCCATATTTTTTTTTTCCTTCTGTGATGCTGTGAATGGGTTAACTGGAGCCAGAGCTACCTATTCCTTTGTATTGCCACCTATGATGTGAATCCCTACAGACAAATATGTTTAGTAGTAAAGCAATCGTAAAAAGTGAAACAAATTTGTACTGGAAAGACAAGCCCCTTCAGATATTTTTAGAGTATTTTGTGTGCTTGGTTTTGTAAGAATGGTAATGTAATATTTATTTCACAATATGTTTAGTTCCACTAGGCATGACAGCAGTCTTTGCTAGCAGTTTTACTGCTGTAACCTTTTTTCTTTCCCCAGAAAGATTCCGCTCTTCTGTTATTTTCCTCCTGCTTCATGCAAGTTCTTTGATGCAGAATATGCTTTGCTTCCTTTTAACTTGGTTGAATATGGAGCACACTTTTGAGTTGTGAATAATTCATACAAGGAATCCTTATTAAAGATTTTCTACCTGGTATCTGCAGAAGACACAGGAAATCACATCATCTATGACCTTGTGATAGAAGAACTGCTTTAAAAATTATTGAGTTATTCTGACCATAACCTAAATGCACCGACTTTTTCCCATAAGGAACCAGGAAATGCCACCCGTTTAATTTTTTTAATATGGAGGCTCAATCAATAATCTTCTTTCTCTTTCTGTGGGAGACCCTTTATTCATGATTCCAAGCCTAGCTAAATAATAGGTAGGCCAATGATTTATTTTTAATATGAAAATCTTCTTATCTATCGAATACTTTAGCCCCACAAATGTCAAGTCATTTATTCAATTGTTAAGGTGACTGCTCATTTTCCATATTTTCAATGGAATTATTTCCACTTCAGTGCTAAAATATACTAAGCTTGAAGTAAATCAATTCCCTCCTTGTGCTAAAAATTAGCATAGCACAAACTAATCAATGCTATCAAACACTAGTGCAAAAGCTGTGACAATAACCGTATCAGTGAGGAAGTAAATTGCTTATTATGCCAAACTGGGAAAAAAGCCTCATCAGTCACAAACTGTCTGATTCATAGAAATACAGTCTGTGGGTCTATTGTTCTTAGAAGTGGGCAAGTTTGTTCCCCACGTTATTGAAAATACATCTCCTGTAATAATGCATGGCCCCTGCAACATTTCTCTGCAGCAGCACCTTCCCCGTGCCCTAGTGCAAACGTTCAGAAATATTGAGCCCACATTATAAGGGATACAGTAAACTGCAATGCCCATTCTCTGTCATGCACTAGCTCTTGTTTGGTGGAACCCTTGCTACAGCTCAGATGAGCTGGGGAGATGGCACTGCAGCTAGGGTTGAATCGGGAGAGCGGGACCTGGCGCTCACCTTTGTCTCCAGCTTCCCGCATGACTAAGTACAGCTGCTCTGTACCTCTGCTTCCCCATCTGCAGTCAGGGGTAAATATGTCCCTGCTGACTAGTGGTGTTGTGAAGACAATATGACTAATATCCGCAAAGCATTCAGGTGCCTGAATGTAGGAGTATAATAGAAAACCTGTGTAATAGTTCATTAAGGCAGGGCTGCTTCCACGACTGTCTAACAAGACTGTCAGCAAGGATGGCAATTAGTGCCAGTGACTGGACCAAGACCACCAACTCGTTTCCTCTGGGCCCCCAAGCAGCCATCTGATGATAATAATTTTGGGTCTTTACCAGGCAGGGACAGACATGAACGGATGAGCTAGAAGGGAGAGGTTCTATGTTCCATTACTAATATCCTGAGCTATCCAGTCCTACTATAAAAATTCACTTTTATTAAAAGGTTATTTCTGTCACTTGCTATAGTATCGCTATCATTCTCTGGGATAGAAATGATGAAAGATCATTTTAAATGTTATCAATGCAATATTTAAACAGCTTTTTTTTTTTTTTTGTCTCAGAGAAAGTGCTTTGAAAAGACACCCCCTCCAGCATGTATTAGTTCTTAACAGGACCAACTTTTTAAAACTCACAGTTTTTGCACAGTGTAGGAAGAAAAAAAGAACAAATCTGCAGTATACTGTGCTACATTGTACTTCTTGCAGCCTGGGACACTTCTTTATTTATGCTTAATAAATTGTCACAAATAGAAGTTGCTGAAGTATGTGGATATTGATTTCCAGTAATATAGTGACATTGATATAAAATGAATGTAATTTTAGTATTAATACCTTACACTTTTAATAACAATTTTGTCCCAGGAGGAAAACGAAATACTTTCTGGGGATCACCTTGCTCCCAGCTGCTGTGCAATGCCTGTATTACGGTGTTGCATTTGTCTCCTTCAGAAAGAGATTCCTCCCTGACACCTCTTAGCTATTCACAGCTAGAAGCAACTACCAATGCCCAGATGAAGTTGTAGACTGTAGGAAGTAAATGTACATGTTACAGTTTTTAAGATCATGCAGCTGACACCCACACACTTTAACCCAATCTTCTCAACAAATAACTCTTTCCTCCCTTTCTGCCTGCAGAAGTGATGAATGTGAGCTAGCAAGCCTTGGCTTTATGCTCTTCTGCAGACAGGACTTCCCCTAACAACACGCATGGATTTCCATTACATTCTGATTCAGCAGAAAATTGTATCATCAGCACCACTTGTGCAGCTGAGATTATCAGAGTAGTCCAGGGGATTGAAACACACAGCTTCCATTAAAATGAATTAGAAGTTCTTCCTGGAAATGGACCTTCAAGTCACTGGACCAGTTCAGTTCTCAGTAAGAGATAGAAAGCACTTTGGGGAAGAAGGTATGGTGGAGTATAAAGAGGACAACCACAAAACAAGTTGTAGCAAGTCAGGACTTCCCTGCAAGAGAAAGAATCTTACCTTTTTACAAGAATATTCCAAAACACTACATCTTACAGAGCCACTATGTTATCTAGTGCAATTACTCAGTGTCTGCCTTTGCTACATTTCACATGCTGAAGTAGGGGGGCTGTTTGCAGAAGAACTGATTATTTTCAAGGCTTCTGCTAAAAGGCACCACAACAGCATAAAAATAGCACTGTTTTAAGAGAATGGTTTAAATACAAACTTCCTTGGGCCAACTGCAGGCATTGCTGAGGAAAACACAGTTTCGTGATTACAAATACTGGTAAGTAGAAGAGCAAAATCCTTGATAAATGAATCAAATTTACTATTGTGCTTTAAGATATAGTTAAATCATAGAATACACTAATGTCTGTTTTTTTTAGATTAACCTAAACTGATGACATTGATTGCAAAAGAATATAACGTTCTATTGAGGAGAAATGATAGCAGCACTAAATCTTGTGTCTATTACAAAAATATAATTCTACAGATCCTTTCAACATAAATGTCTTTAGATATGATATGCAAATTGCAGCAAGTCTCCTTAAGGCTCACTCCTATAATGCTCAAGGCCCTGGGAGGCTTGGTACCAGCTTGGTTCAAGGTGCAGTAAGAGCAGATACAGGGAGGGAAAAATTCTTTATTCAGGTGTCATGAGTATGCATGCAAATACTTCTGTTGTTATTCACAGATTTGATTCATAGCAAAATTTTGCTATTTTCATGGATAATCAGAGTGCAGATATCTAGACAATATACCCACAGAAAATTGTTTGCAGCACAGACTCTCCGTTTTTATAATAAA